CCCTACAATCTGCACTGCTTTTTCCAATATAATAATAAATCAAAAAACTTCATGTAATTATTTTATTGAAAAACAAAAAAGGAAACCCTTACAGAGAACGGGCACCGAGATGTAATCCTGTTTACTGATGTTCTGCAAAGCTGGGCGTCATTGATCCACTTTAGCGAGGTGGTAATGGATGATTGAAATGTTAACGAGCCCCACTTCAGTTTATCGGAGATGGAAGCATAGAGCAACACGCTCCCGACCTAAAATAACTAAAACACTGTCCGAATAACTCGATCCTACTCTTTGAGTTAAAGTGGACCGATCATGCTATATTTGAATAATATAGTGTAGGACCATACCTATATAAGGCATATTTATGCACTTTTTTAGCTCTGTTTTTGCAAGGGCTGATTCTGTGAGAACAGCACCACCTACAGGCCTGGCATATGTACTACAGCGTCTCCAGTTGGCCCAATAGCCGTAGCGCCACCGTCCTGACGTCAGGAAGTGTTCAAATCTGGATCAGTTTTTATCAGATCCGTTGCAGCCCCTTTTTTAGAGATTTGGGTATGGAGGAAAATAGAGAGGGTTGTGTTTTCTGACACTTGGTGAGTTCCCTGGAACACCGGGGACACATATTCATGTAGAAAAGACGTACACAAGTGCATTTTGCATGATAGGTCCCCTTTAAGTTACCTTGGAAATATCGGACTAACGAAAAATGCCCAAAAAAGGAAAGAAAAACCACTCCCAAAGCAAAAATCACGACGAAGAAGAAATCGATCAGCTGTCTCGAGCCAGCAACAGCATGGAGGATGACACACAGCCAGATGACGCAGATCCCAGCAGGGACGCACATTTAAGTTTAATTCTAAACGAGCTGCGAGACTTTAGAAAAGACTCCAGCCAACAACTCAACGGAATAAAGGAAGACATCAACACAATTAACAAAAGAATGGAGGAAGCAGATGAACGAATTGACGCAGCTGAGACCAGGATCCATTCATGGGAAGAGGTGGTATCTGGGCTAGTGAAGCTACAGGTACAGACAGAGGCTAAACTAATGGACCTAGAGGGATGATCATGTCGCGAGAATGTCAGGATATATGGAGAAAAGGAAGGAGCAGAAGCCATGTCGACAACGGTGATCGCCTTTGTGGAAGAGCTACTAACTAAAGGCCTGGAACTGCCCCCCTCTGCGCTTCAGATCGAGAGGGCGCACCGTGCGCTCGGCCCCAAACCTCCGGTCGACGAGGCCACACCGAGATCACTGGTGGTGACATTTTCAAGTTATAGAATGAAAGAAGAAGTAGCCTGGCAGAAAAAGGGTTTTTATTTCAAAGAAAAAAAAGTCAACGTGGACCATGATTACACACCAGAATTGCAGAGAAGGAGGAGGCAGTACGCGGAAGCCAAAGCGGCACTTAAGGAAAGAAATATTCGATTCCATTCCCGGCCAGAATAAAAGTGTTTTATGTCAACCCAGTAGTCTTCAATGCGTCTGAGGAGGCAACAGCAGACATGGTTAAGAGAGGGATAACAGTGATTGAAATCAGAGCTCCCCTCTGGACCAGATTAACCGGCTGACCTGGGAACCCAGCAGAAAGCGGGGAGATCAACAGCACCCGAGCTCCAAGCAACATTTCAAGGAACGGTTTCGAGGCTTTCGACATCGGGATACATGATAAGTAGCCTATATTTAACAATGCCCACTTTTATGGATGCTCCTTTCTGGATATCTTGTTTTAAAAAACAAAAACAACAATAAGGCTATTTTGAGGCAACTGAGACTATCTCTTTGTTTTTGCTGTTTTTTTTGCCTTCACTATTACTATTTTCCTCCCTATCCAAGGAAGAGACTAAATTGAATAGAAGGCTTATGCCACGGGCACATGTGGGCCAAATGTTGGGTCGGGTTGCTACTCTCTGTACTATGGACCTATGTATCAGTTTAAGGGCTGAAGAGGGCCCCCTTCCATCACTAAGAGGAAGAGACTAATGGGGCATTTCCACCATGGTGCGGAGCGCGGTTTAAGCGTGCCGTGTCGTGCCGGGCCCGTTTCTGGTTGCGCTTCCACTAGGCCTAGTTCCGGCCCGGGGCTACTTTTTCACCTCTTTTCTGGCCCGACAAAATCGTGGTTCTATCGGGGCCAATAAACAGGGCTGAGTCGGGCTGAGTATGCTAAACTAGAGAGAGAATCGCTGGCAAGGGGGCTACAACTACAACAAGATGAACATATTTGACCGTGATTTAATTGTAATACACGTTTCAAAATGATGCCGAAGTAACAACATACTGATACCGGTTAGTAAAAACCATGAATTAATGCTTTGACAAGTCTGCAGACAGACGGCAGGTGAAAAACCTTTTAAAATGCGTGTTTTCTAGATGGAGATTGGCTAAGCTAACGTTGTATATGCTCCGACCGTCCACACTCACAACAACGGCCTATACAGACATAAATAAAGCAGCGACTGTATTCACCATGACACAGGCAGTCTGTGGTTTGTACTTGTTTAACTTTTGTCTAGTTTCTGAACAGATATGAGGAGCTGTGAGCTCTGAGTGCTAACAGCTAACGGCTGATGTTGTTTTTCTGGGATTCTCATTGAAGATGACGTCACGGCTCCGCCTACACTGCGTTACTATAGTAACTACCCCAGTTCCTAAACTGTAATGGAAGCGCAGCAGGAAGTGAGCCGGCCCTAACAAGGCCCAACGCGGCCTAGCCATACCGAGCGAGGCCGAGGCCGACCGTGTGGTGGAAATGCGCCATTACACTCCAACACTCCAAGGCCCAATATGAGGCCTTAAATCTGGAAGTCAACGATACTTATGATTTTGGATATTATTTTGTTATAGTTTTGGATTTTATTAATGTTATATATACAAAAGGGGATGTAAGAAATGATTTAAATGCAGCATTTCATGGATTTAAAATAAAGGCAAATAGTCACTATGCAAAGTAAAGGGTCAATTAAAGTAATTACATACAATATGAACGTTCTGGGAAACCCAATTAAAAGGAACAAAGTAATGTCAAAATTAAAAAGAGATGGAGCCGAAGTAGCCCTCCTGCAGGAGACTCATCTAACAGAACAGGAATGTTAGTGCAATGTATGGCTCACCAACCTTAAATGTTAACACAGAGAGAGATCAATAAAACACAAACACAGACATGGTTGAGATTAATTATTATTCAGTTGCAACAACAATAATAATCTGTAGTACATCACCTGCCACAGCAGCCAATCGTGGAAATGCCCCACGAATACAAGAAACAGACGGCAGATATAGGTTTCCTAAATGACACACGAACATGTTCCCTAACCATGTTTAACGCACACACATTGTCAGGTCTCTTAAACTTGGACATGTTCCAGATGTAGAGAGGTCATCATCTCATGACGTCTTTAGGAGTCTTGCAGGATATGAATTATCCAATTAACAAACTATATATACGTCTGCACATGAACGCACACACATTTCTTTACATTAACCAACACACCAACATCCTTATCGTTTCTAAGTTAATGCATGCTGGATATGAACCACTAACTTTAGACTCTAACTGTATTATATCTGAGGAAGACGTCCCTTGGACTTCCTCTGACCTTTGCCAACATACTTAACATGGGTACATCTGCTGATAATTGCGGAAGAGGCAATGGAGCCTCTCTGACCTGTGTTACCTTAATAAATAAGCCAGAAATACGCTGTATTAAGGATTCTGCCATAAGCGCTGATATTATAACGCCAGAGAATTTCCACACCTTTAGTGTATAAAACTCCCCCACTACTTAGACTATTCCTTGCACCCCTCTTCTAGCATAACCCTGAATAGTCTCAACCATATTGCATCAGTAACGTGCACTTGTTACAGCAGGATCAGTTTGTGTGTTGTGGACACGACCCGTATATTTTCGTAGTCCGTGTTCTCAACATTTAGCATTTTGCTTATTTAATTTAATTTGCTTACTTTAACATCATTTTTCATGGTGGGGCTAAGGTGGGACTAAGTCATTTCTTGGTATGGCTGTAGCCTACCCCAGCTATACCCTGGCGCCGCCACTGCATGGCAACAGCTTTTGTGGAAAACTCACTATTGTCATATTGAGGTGTTGAGGGCCGGACCATTAACTGTCATCTGAAGTCTGGTGCCGTTTGGACCATTTATCATTTAGTTACGACAACTTTGGCGCGAAATCACGGCTATGCCGTGCGAAAGAAAAAAAGTTCCGTGATATCGTTGTTCCGCCCATGTCTCGAGAAGCTACCTGACGAATTTGGAGTCGTATACGTATAAAGTCCCAGGAGTTTGTTAAAGTACGGAGGAAGGAAAAATGCGATAAATCGTGTTATTCCAACGCCAAATTCAAAACGGCCGACTTCCTGTACGTTTTTTGTATACTCCTCCAAGATGCATTTTCTCCGCACCCTAGATATACGTAGCGAGTTTCGTTCGTTTCCGTGAAAGTGAAAGTGGTGGGAGTGGGGGAAGTTTACGTAAAACCGGAAGTGGGCATGGCTTGCGCAATTTTTGACGTAAAGTTCCGGAACCAATTACACATCGCAATTTTCACCACTTCTGATGTGCTTGCAGCATTTTATGAGTTTTCACATATGTTGCGGGGGTCAAAAGTGCGCGCAATGTTTTAAAATAATTATAATAAATAAATAAATAATTATAATAAATAATCCTTCCAATATCAATAATGTGCGCTACCTACTGTAGGGTACTTTTTTTTCTACCATTTTTATGGGCTTTTGCTTGTCGTTTTCCCTGTTTTGTGTGGGTATTTGCATTTTTATAGCTCGCTTAGCAAGCGGTACAATTGATCCTACCGATATCAATCACGTGAGTTGCACGTGACTGGGCTCGCGCAGTCTATCTGCCGTCATGATTTCCGAATGTTTGCTGTGCTTTTGCCGGTCGTTTTCCCTGTTTTGTGTGTGCTTCGCAGGTTTATCGCTCGCGCAGCTGCAATAGGGTCTTCACCGACCTCTGGTCTCAGACCCTAATAAAAGTGTACCATATATAACATAACTAATTAAACAGTGCCATAAAATGTAAAGAAATAAAGTGTCAAATAAATAACAAACTGACCTGCTCACAACATGTGGTCCTTTAAGGTGCATCCCTTTTCTTTCCCCATACCCTCTTTGCTCCAGCTCAGCCCTCCATTCCTCACAGGACTGGCTCTCTGATTCTGGACAGTACCAATTGCCAAAGTACTGTAAGTGGGCTGGTGGCTTCCTGTCTTTGTTGCACTTTTTATAAAGGATGGCGTCTGTCTTTTTGACTTTCTTTTGCCTGATCCAGATTGCTCCCTCTTGTCTTTCCCTGTACTGCTGTGTGGTGTACGGCACGTTACTCTGACCGGATGTTAGCGCCTGAGTAGCTGATGCCATAGCTGATGGCAATGGCATGTTGAGAAGCATCATCTGAGAGCTTCCAGGCACAACCTGTGAGGGTCCAGGCACTTGAGGAAGCTGCACAGATGGTACCATGTATGGTGTTGAGAAGGGTGGAGTCGGTGCAAGGAAGGGAAGAGCATAGTATGGAGGTGGTGGTGGGACCTGTGAGATGGCCACTGGTTGGGATCTCTTCTGGAGCTTTGCCTCACCAGCAGTGTTTGGTGGCAGAACAAAGGTGTGAGGCTCAGCCAAACTGCCAGGATACAGAGATGTCCCTTTCTGCATCGCCACAAGAAGCTTCTCAGGTCCTGCCATGGGAGCGTCAGGAGCGGGGATACCCTGCTTCAGGATCTGCTGTTCCTGAGACCTGCAGCGCCTGCTGAAACATGAAACAATCAATATTAATGAACACAATGGAATATCTGTAATGAAAAATAGTTGGGATTATTTTGAACAGTAAATCATTTTATTGGGTAAGTATTACAGTGTAAGTAAACATGTCTTGCAGTATATGCAGTATGCTTATTTACTCACCATTGTGTGACAGTTGCAACATTCACTTCTGGGAGCTGGATGGTGGTCTCAGTCATCACCTTGGCGTTGGTGATCACGCACTCTCGGATGTGCTTATAAGCACGTGTCACCATTCTGAACTGTGAGACCCTCACTCCCTCGCAGCGCACAGTATTTTGGTAGAGGTCACAGAGCCTTGTGAAGATGGCCTCCACCACTCTGTTGCAGTTTGGCCACAGTGCAGGACTGTGAGCCCCAATGAAGCACCTGTACATTCAACAGAATACTTATTATTATTCATTACTAAAGATTGAGATGTATTTGTACTTTTCTGTAATTTGACTTCCCTAAAGTTATGGGGGAAACCCAGAAAGTGTTGTTCTGCTTTATTCCATCTGACACACACACTTGCTTATTGTAGGTCTCTTATGTAATTGTTTGTTTTGGACCCAAGAAAGGAAAGGTGGTGTTCAAGTAAATAAGGATATTTTTTATGTAAACCAAAGCTGAGCCTGATATACTCTTGCAGACACTCTCAGGACGAGGTGTCATGTATGCACACATCAAAGATCTTGTTAAGGACTTTAGTACGAATATTGTGTTTCTTTACCTAAGCAACAGCAGCTGATGTTAAGTTGCGACAACAAAAGGAAAAGGAAATTAAAACTAAATGAGAAAAATGAACATCACCAGTATCACTAAATGTGTCCACTTAATAACATTCTGTTGAGTGTTTGAGATATTGAAATGTAAACATACCTGCAGGATTTGCCTCCTCAACGTGTACTGCCTCTGGCAGGAGTGTGCTGTCATCGACCCCACTGGACACAGCCGGGTGTGTGAGGGGGGATGCTGGAGGCGGGTGTGTGAGGGGGGATGCTGGAGGAGGGTGTGTGAGGGGGGATGCTGGAGGAGAGTGTGTGAGGGGGGAGACTGGAGGCGGGTGTGTGAGGGGGGATGCTGAAGGAGGGTGTGTGAGGGGGGAGACTGGAGGCGGGTGTGTGAGGGTGGATGCTGGAGGCGGGTGTGTGAGGGGGGATGATGGAGGAGGGTGTGTGAGGGGGGATGCTGGAGGAGGGTGTGTGAGGGGGGATGCTGGAGGCGGTGTGTGAGGGGGGATGCTGGAGGCGGGTGTGTGAGGGGGGGATGATGGAGGAGGGTGTGTGAGGGGGGATGATGGAGGAGGGTGTGTGAGGGTGGATGCTGGAGGAGGGTGTGTGAGGGTGGATGCTGAAGGCGGGTGTGTGAGGGTGGATGCTGGAGGAGGGTGTGTGAGGGGGAGACTGGAGGCGGGTGTGTGAGGGTGGATGCTGGAGGCGGGTGTGTGAGGGTGGATGCTGAAGGCGGGTGTGTGAGGGTGGATGCTGGAGGAGGGTGTGTGAGGGGGAGACTGGAGGCGGGTGTGTGAGGGTGGATGCTGGAGGCGGGTGTGTGAGGGTGGATGCTGGAGGAGGGTGTGTGAGGGGTGTGTGAGGGGGGATGCTAGAGGCAGGTGTGTGAGGGTGGATGCTGAAGGCGGGTGTGTGAGGGGGAGACTGGAGGCGGGTGTGTGAGGGTGGATGCTGAAGGCGGGTGTGTGAGGGGGGATGCTGGAGGAGGGTGTGTGAGCGGGAGACTGGAGGCGGGTGTGTAAGGGTGGATGCTGGAGGCGGGTGTGTAAGGGTGGATGCTGGAGGAGGGTGTGTGAGGGTGGATGCTGAAGGCGGGTGTGTGAGGGTGGATGCTGGAGGAGGGTGTGTGAGGGTGGATGCTGAAGGCGGGTGTGTGAGGGTGGATGCTGGAGGCAGGTGTGTGAGGGTGGATGCTGAAGGCGGGTGTGTGAGGGGTGGATGCTGGAGGAGGGTGTGTGAGGGTGGATGCTGGAGGAGGGTGTGTGAGGGGTGTGTGAGGGGGGATGCTTGAGGCAGGTGTGTGAGGGTGGATGCTGAAGGCGGGTGTGTGAGGGGGGATGCTGGAGGAGGGTGTGTGAGGGGTGTGTGAGGGGGGATGCTTGAGGCAGGTGTGTGAGGGTGGATGCTGGAGGAGGGTGTGTGAGGGTGGATGCTGGAGGAGGGTGTGTGAGGGGTGTGTGAGGGGGGATGCTTGAGGCAGGTGTGTGAGGGTGGATGCTGAAGGCGGGTGTGTGAGGGGTGGATGCTGGAGGAGGGTGTGTGAGGGTGGATGCTGGAGGAGGGTGTGTGAGGGGTGTGTGAGGGGGGATGCTGGAGGAGAGTGTGTGAGGGTGGATGCTGGAGGAGGGTGTGTGAGGGTGGATGCTGGAGGAGGGTGTGTGAGGGTGGATGCTGGAGGAGGGTGTGTGAGGGTGGATGCTGGAGGAGGGTGTGTGAGGGGGGATGCTGGAGGAGGGTGTGTGAGGGGTGTGTGAGGGGGGATGCTTGAGGCAGGTGTGTGAGGGGTGGATGCTTGAGGCAGGTGTGTGAGGGTGGATGCTGAAGGCGGGTGTGTGAGGGGGGATGCTGGAGGAGGGTGTGTGAGGGTGGATGCTGGAGGAGGGTGTGTGAGGGGTGTGTGAGGGGGGATGCTTGAGGCAGGTGTGTGAGGGTGGATGCTTGAGGCAGGTGTGTGAGGGTGGATGCTGAAGGCGGGTGTGTGAGGGTGGATGCTGAAGGCGGGTGTGTGAGGGTGGATGCTGAAGGCGGGTGTGTGAGGGGGGATGCTGGAGGAGAGTGTGTGAGGGTGGATGCTGAAGACTCTGTCTTTCCTAGCCCACATCAAACACATCACCAAGACCTCATTCTTTCACCTGAAAAACATTTCCCGACTGAAGCCCTCACTCTCAACCGATGACATAAAAAAACTGGTTCTATTAGACCAGGGCTCTCCAACACGTCGATCGTGAGCTACCGGTAGCTCGCGGGCAGCTTTTCAGTAGCTCGCCGCTCGATTATCGATTATAGCGTAGTAAGGTTGCTTATTGATTTTTCGGCCGCGGCTGGACAATAACGTTTTTTTATTTTAGAATTGTTTTCTGTCACACGAATATCAAATCGGTCGGTGCGCAGAGATCAAGGAACAGACGTGACAGCGGCACAGCGACAACACACACGGCACAGTCTGCTTTCTCCACCAACACCAGTCCAGAACTAACAGCAGAATGACCCGCTCTGAATCAGGCCCTGTCGCTGCGCCTCAGAGACACACAGGGAGGGATTTGTGTTTTTTGAAAAACACTCGTTATCGTCATGTCAGGTTTTTGGTGGATTTAATCAAGTCTTGGATTGCAGAGTATGAATGTCCTCTTGCTATTTTCAGTTGATAAATACTTGTGTAAAGTTTGTGAAGGCAGGAGGAAAGCTTCCGCGATCACCGTCTCCTCTCTGTTCCTCCAAACCCCGCCCCCTCCCTGAATATAATGAGTGACAGGCTGATAGTGACCCGATAGAAACTTTATTATTCACTTAATCACTGATTGAGATATAATGAAGCTAACTTAATCTCATACATTCATGGGATTTATGTAACAGTAAGACAGAGAAGGTAAGTGTGCACCCACATGCACTATTTTTGTTTGTATATGCTATTGTAAATACTCCTGTTGTCTGCTGTGTTCAGACTTAAGTCATGTGTGTGATGCCACATTCAGGACATTCACTGTCTTTTTTTTTTAACAGAAGACCGTTGCTAGAAGCTGCAGCTAGACTGCAGAAGCATTAGGTTTTTTGTTTTTGAGGATGGAACAATTTCACACACAGATATAGGGAGGCTAGACCTATACAATTGATGTATTATGGTTTATAATTTAATGTCAACACGAAGAAGAAGAAGAAAAAGATGGCTGAACAACTGTTCAGTGTCAATCCTGTGGAGATATCCAAAATAATGTTCAGCTTAAGTCTCAGCAAAACTCACAACATTTCTGGAGCCTTGTAGACCCAGAAAACTATAGAACATTCACCAAGCAGCACTGAAAATGTCTGCTTTATTTGGTTCTGTTCTACATACCTTTGTGAAGCAGCTTTTTCTGACATGAATGAAATCTAAATACAGAACAAGACCGACTGATGTACATTTAAATGACTCTATTAGAGTGAACCTAAGTGGGTCCAGCATACACCTGTATGGTGGACTGCATGCAGTGCCATTCATCTCACTGACTGTACAAAATAGTGAAATGCTTGAAAGGTGGTGATTAAGGACATGTATGTGAATGTTCAGTGATGTACTCCCTATGTGGACCATAATAATATGTGAGAAATCTTCGTTTTCTTTGACCTTGATGTGAAGTTAAGATTTTTGATAAGCTTTAGGTATTGCAATTTCACACGTGTACAAAAGTATAACTTAATTCAACTGATGAGGGCTATGTGAATAAATGTAAGCGATGTGATGCAAGTAGCTCTTGGCCACTTTAATTTTTTAAAAGTAGCTCTCAGATGAAGAAAGGTTGGAGACCCCTGTATTAGACTATTGCAATGCACTCCTCTCCGGTCTCCCAGCCAAATCCATCAACCGCCTGCAACTTGTCCAGAACAGTACAGCCAGAGTTCTCACCGGTACAAAAAGGTCCGCACACATAACCCCCATACTTGCACAACTACACTGGCTCCCAGTCCACTACAGGATCCAGTTTAAGGTTCTGCTCCTCACTTACAAAGCCCTGAATGGACAAAGCCCAAAATACCTCTGTGACCTCATCCATACCCAGACATCTACCCGCTCTCTACGCTCCAGCCACGCTCCTCTTCTTTACATCCCCCGCACACGTCTCCGAACAATGGGAGACTTCTGCTCATTCGCCCCGCGCCTCTGGAACTCCCTCCCAGATCAGCTGAGATCTGCCCCTTCCACCGAGGTCTTCAAAACCGGCCTTAAGACCCTCTTCTTTCGGCAGCCCTTCCAATAAACTTTGAGCATGGTACACCTGGAGTACTGCCATTTTTATCGCTATCTCCGACTTTTATTTTATTTATTTATTTTTATTTAATTTTATATTTAATTTTTAATTTTTTGTTTTAATTTTTCATTTGTATTATTATTATTTGTTTAATCTCTCAAATTGTATCAGTGTCCTTTGCTGTGAAGCGCTTCGAGATTTGTCTTGGCAGATGAGAAGCGCTATATAAATTACATTTATTATTATTATTATTATTATTATTATCTGCCCTAGACTTCTGCTTTCAGACGTAGTTAATTATAAAGTTATTACCTTATCCGATGCAGAGGCACTAATACAATATAATACATAATGTTATATATATTATATATGTATATTTATGTAGTCTAAAAGTTACAACCGGCCCTTTGAGTGCTACCTTAATGCTGATGTGCCCGTGATGAGATGGAGTTTGACCCCCTACATTACAGTGATCCTTTTTAACCTCTCTGGTTCAGCAGGAGGTTGAGATTAGGAACAAAGGTTATAGGAGCCAGCATGCTTATTCAGCCTGAGGCAATCATCTCCATTATTGTTGTTATTTTAGATCACACACATCTGTATTTAATCATCCCTTCAGGTGTTTGTCACGTGGGTCTTGTTGGTTTGTTTTCAGTCCACCTGTTGTTTGCCAGTAATGAATACGACACAGAGGCTGAGCTCATGTTCTGATGAACGTTTGCTCCTCTCTAAGTTACAAACTGTAAAGAGAGAAATGTAGAATGTGTGATATTGGGTTTTATAAAGAAACTCTCATTCATTGATTCCTCTTCTTCTTTTCTCGTTGCAGAGTTTGATATTTATCTGTTTCTGGTTTTCCTCTCCGGAGCGTTGCTGTTCCTCTTTGCAGACTCACTCAGCAGGTCACTTTGTATGAAGACTATTTAACAACACTAAAATGCATTTCAATTAAAAAGGATAATAACATATTGAACCCCTCGTCTTCCTCCCCTCAATAAAGGAGTCAAGTGTTCTTCTCCTCTGCTGGTATGAGCACCGGCATGATCGCCTCTCTCATCATCGTCTTCTTCATTCTGGCTCGCTTCCTGCCGAAGGTAAGGACTCATTTTACTGCCATGTTGAACAGATATTGGGTTTTCCTCCAGAGGGCGGCTGCATCTCCTTTAGGGATAAGGTGAGGTCAGTCATGGGGAGGGGCTTTTCATACCAAGGACACTTAACCAATAAGCAAACACTCACGGACCACCTGACTCCCCAGACATCCAGAACCAAAAGGCCTGCTCACCACTCCAACAGTTTATAACAAACTACAGCCTGATGACAGCTTCACTTCTCTGTATCGCCTCGTTCACACATTAAATCAACAATACAAATACAACTACAGATTCTACAAGCATTTCCTTCATATGAGATTTGAAATGCTCACAGGTTTTACACCTCGTATGAAAAGTAGACTACATTTATTACAGAGTTTATGTCCGAGCCGACAGACTCTCAGAAAGATCGTTTTCTACTGAGAGAAATGCCTGAAATACGACTCCAACCTCCACTGTGGATTTTCATAATAAAATACAAACTATGGTTGCAGGCCCAAGTTCAACATGAATTCAACATTAAACACAAGTTCATTATTTACACTGTTCCATTTATTTAGCATTTAGATAAGTGTTAAAAGATCGATGGATGGTCTAACGGGTAAATTCCCTTTGGCCTCCAGAGACGGCAAAAGTACACACATCCTTTACTCAAGTAGAAGTACACATACTCGTGTTTAAAAGTACTCTGGTCAAAGTAGAAGTACTGACTAAACTTCTTTACTCAAGTCAAAGTAAAGAGGCTTTGAAATGTACTTCAGTAAAAAGTACCCATAACTAGCAGCTGTTTTAAAGAGTACCTGACCTCCCTTTATATTAATAGAACAATAATGTCATTGTTAGCTAATGAATGTTTCCATGCTGAACAACGGCAACATGACAACGTTTTCATTGGTCCCTCTTCTTTAGAGAAGACCAGGAAATGATGGATACACGGATCGTGTTCAAATCAATAGGCACGCAATGACTCTAAATAATAATGATCACGCCACCAAACACACATTCAAACTAAAGGAACCAGCCTGTTTGGAAAATGTAACAAGTAGAAAGTACAGGTATTTGAGTTCAACATGTAAGAAGTAGAAAGTACAGGTATTTGGGTTCAACATGTAAGAAGTAGAAAGTACAGGTATTTGGGTTCAAAATGTAAGAAGTAGAAAGTACAGGTATTTGTGTTCAACATGTAAGAAGTAGAAAGTACAGGTATTTGAGTTCAACATGTAAGAAGTAGAAAGTACAGGTATTTGAGTTCAACATGTAAGAAGTAGAAAGTACAGGTATTTGAGTTCAAAATGTAAGAAGTAGAAAGTACAGGTATTTGTGTTCAACATGTAAGAAGTAGAAAGTACAGGTATTTGAGTTCAACATGTAAGAAGTAGAAAGTACAGGTATTTGAGTTCAACATGTAAGAAGTAGAAAGTACAGGTATTTGAGTTCAAAATGTAAGAAGTAGAAAGTACAGGTATTTGTGTTCAACATGTAAGAAGTAGAAAGTACAGGTATTTGTGTTCAACATGTAAGAAGTAGAAAGTACAGGTATTTGTGTTCAACATGTAAGAAGTAGAAAGTACAGGTATTTGGGTTCAACATGTAAGAAGTAGAAAGTACAGGTATTTGTGTTCAACATGTAAGAAGTAGAAAGTACAGGTATTTGGGTTCAACATGTGAGAAGTAGAAAGTACAGGTATTTGTGTTCAACATGTGAGAAGTAGAAAGTACAGGTATTTGGGTTCAACATGTAAGAAGTAGAAAGTACAGGTATTTGTGTTCAACATGTAAGAAGTAGAAAGTACAGGTATTTGTGTTCAACATGTAAGAAGTAGAAAGTACAGGTATTTGTGTTCAACATGTAAGAAGTAGAAAGTACAGGTATTTGTGTTCAACATGTAAGAAGTAGAAAGTACAGGTATTTGTGTTCAACATGTAAGAAGTAGAAAGTACAGGTATTTGTGTTCAAAATGTAAGAAGTAGAAAGTACAGGTATTTGTGTTCAACATGTAAGAAGTAGAAAGTACAGGTATTTGTGTTCAACATGTGAGAAGTAGAAAGTACAGGTATTTGTGTTCAACATGTAAGAAGTAGAAAGTACAGGTATTTGTGTTCAACATGTGAGAAGTAGAAAGTACAGGTATTTGTGTTCAACATGTAAGAAGTAGAAAGTACAGGTATTTGGGTTCAACATGTAAGAAGTAGAAAGTACATGTATTTGGGTTAAAAATGTAAGAAGTAGAAAGTACAGGTATTTGTGTTCAAAATGTAAGAAGTAGAAAGTACAGGTATTTGGGTTAAAAATGTAAGAAGTAGAAAGTACAGGTATTTGTGTTCAACATGTGAGAAGTAGAAAGTACAGGTATTTATGTTCAACATGTAAGAAGTAGAAAGTACAGGTATTTGTGTTCAAAATGTAAGAAGTAGAAAGTACAGGTATTTGACGCTCAGGTGTGTTGGCACGCAGCCTTCATCAGAGCGTATTCATTTACAGATTGGATTTGGTAAATAAAGGGCAGAGTTAACACAGCTGGGGAATGGATCCAGTTATCTAGAAACTCATCTCTTCTCAAATGGCTGCATATACAGGGACTCATCACAACTATTTAGTGACATCATGTTCACCAAAAACAGGTTTTATTATCTGTCATCATGTATTTATAATATCTTATTCATATTGGTTAAAGAACTTGATAACACAAAGTTTACAGGCATCATGTATTCACTACTAACACCATGTTGGAAGAGAACTCACCTCTCCATAGCTTCTCCTTGGTTAACTGGATTTATAACATTCACACTGTACTTTTTATATTTACATCTCATTGAATATTCCATTCCTTGCTCACTTTATGTAAATAATATCCTGCTTATAGTGTGTGGCCCTTCAATAGTGTTTATTTTATTTTATTTGTGAGACATTTTATCTTCCCGGTCATCTGTACATATTCCTTAGAACTGTCTAGTGCTGGTTTATTTCTATTTCTATTCTGAGATGTTTATATTTGTTTATTTCTAGTCTTTTAATGAGTTATTATGTGCAATGCCTCGTTTTGTTTTATGCTGCTGCAACACTTTATTTTATCAGACACTAGATGGCAGTAAAGGATTATTTGAATATGCCTCATTCACTCATAGTCCCAGATTATCCCACGTTATTTAGTCGTCAGTAAATTACTACAGGTCCTTCAAACTTAAAAGCTTCTGATCATGTGTGCCCTAAAGTTGTTATTAAAAAGCATAATAAAACCCTGTAAGTAACTATATATGTTCCCGTGTTTCCTCAGGCTACGTGACGGTGGTGGGCTTCGTCACCTTCGCCGTGTGTTACCGGTACGGCCCCCTGGTGGACGAGAAGAGCATGAACATCCTGTCGTGGACGCTGCAGCTGTTCGGCCTGCTGCTGGTCTACCTGGGGATCCAGATCCAGCAGGTGGCCTTCAAATGAAATCATACATCACTTTCCCTCCGTCATAAATCATGAATTTCTTCCACTCACTAACTCAAATCTCTTCTCGCTGTGAGGTGGTTTGTCATTTATCCAATTACACGGAGGATTGTTTATTTCTAATCTTCTTTATTTCAAATGTATTTGTTATTTGAAGTCGTGCATGATGTCTGCTTATTTCTGCCGTTTGAGCTCTACATCCACGATTCACTTTGCTTTGTTCACTTGTTTTATTATTATTATTAATGATGAACATGTTCCCAATCTCAATCTCAATCTTTATTTATTTATATAGCACATTTAAAACAACCTTCAGTTGACCAAAGTGCTGTACAGGCAATAAATATTAAATAACACAATGGGAGTACAATAATAAAACAATAATTAAAAACATGATAAAAAGCACAATAACTAGAAAAATATTTTTTTTAAAAAACACATACAAATGTAAAAATGTAATGTTTAACTAGTATTAAAAGCCAGTGCTCCCCTTTAATTCTGTTAGGTGAGTTGTTCTGCTTCATGAAGCCCCTGAGCAAGTGTTCTTTGTGATATTGGGACAATAAATTAGATAATTAACTACCAAAGACATATATAAATATCATTACTATTAATATGTTTAAAGTGCCATTTGAATACCTGTGACTGACGGATGTCCTCTCTGTCCCTGCAGGTGGCTCAGAGCTGCAGTTCGCTGGAAGACGGAGCCTCGCCGCCTGCTGACGGAGGAGGAGTTCCAGCGGGAGGCGGAGGAAGAGACTCGTAAAGCTCTGGAGGATCTGAGGAAGAACTGCAGCAGCCCCGAGTTCAGATCCTGGAGGACCGTGGCCCGCCTGCAGTCCCCCAAAAGGTGCCCGTAGTTCCCTCTAATCCAAACATGTATATATCCACAAGTAGCAACAAGCTTGACTCCAACTAAAATACGTCTCAGGTAAGTTTGGTTGACTCTTTACTTAAACAAAAGGTATCAGTACAAACACATATTTTCAAAGGTCATAAAACCATATTGCTCCGTGATTCTTTTCTCCTTCTCATCACCAGCAGCTGCAGTCGGCTATGACGTCACTTTCACAACAGCTGGTTTAAATAAATTATATAATAATACTAATAACAAAGAATTACAATGTTCATATATATCTACATTAACAGGTGCACCATAGAGAGGATCCTGACCTTCTACAGGTGCACCATAGAGAGTATCCTGACCTTCTACAGGTGCACCATAGAGAGCATCCTGACCTTCTACAGGTGCACCATAGAGAGCATCCTGACCTTCTACAGGTGCACCATAGAGAGGATCCTGACCTTCTACAGGTGCTCCATATAGAGCATCCTGATTGGCTGCATCACGGCCTGGTACGGCAGCTGCACCGCCCTCAACCGTAAGGCTTTACAGAGGGTGGTGGAAACTGCACAGCACATCACCAGGACGGAGCTGCCATCCATGGAGGACCTCTACTCCCAGCGGCTCAGGAAGAAATCCCTCAGGATTATCAAAGACCCCCATCACCCCAGCCACAAACTGTTCTGTCTGCTGCTGTCTGGCAGGCGGTACCGCAGCATCCGGACTAAAACCACCAGACTCAGAGACAGTTTCATCCCACAGGCCAGAAGACTACTTAATGCCTGAAGTTGCACTATTTGTATTCTTGTTGTTTTTTAAATGTGTTTTATGTCTTGTAATTGCATTGTTGAGGAATATGTGAAGCACGTTTTTAATTCATTACAAACTACACCGTAGTTGTGTATATGATAAAACGCTAATCCTTTGTATCTTGAGATGAAGAAAACTCCTTCAAAGTAGCAATAGAAAATATTTTAGTTTGAACTTATCTTCATGAAGTATGTTGATTGAAAATGTATTGACTGTAGAAATATGATGCCATCTGTGTTAAAACTGGTTCCCTAAAGGCCTCGCTTTACATTAGTTCTGTTGTCACCGAGTCGCTGACAGAAAACATGTTTACAACATCTCAGTTTCACAGTTTGTTTGGAAGAAATGCAGTCTGTCCTGTGTGTTTGTTGTCCTGGAGTTAAACGTCTGTCTGTTTCAACTTGATTACTGTGTTTATTGAATAACATGGTAACTATATTACAATTATATATACACTGTATATGATCAGTAGGTCTTCTGTTGTTACACCATAACAAAACCTTTGGTTCATTTTGTATTTCTTATTCCCAAGCACATAAGACTCATAGATAGTATTACAGTCATACAGTATGTCTTTGCTTTTATTCAAATGTAAGAGTTCATGAAAATAACATATTTAAAGTGTATACATGGTTGTTACTCTGAAGCTTTGTCATTGAAGTATAGTACCAATACTGTCAGAGACTTTCATTGTTCTGGTAGTAATGCAATACTCTTATATGTCCAGATAATTAGATACTTATCAACAAATCTGAATCAAAGGATATTTCCCCTTTCACATCAACAGCACGAGATCATTGATGTTTCTAATGAACAAATAAAATAAACAGCACAGAATTAGCAGTAAAAGAGAGAGGTTGAATCCTGATGTTAAAAGAAAAGCATTTCCTCAATGTCTATCACTGTGTTTTCTCCTGCAAACCAAGAGAGAGATTGATCATGTCATGAGACTTTTCTCGTCAAAATACTGTTGTTGCTGTGCAGAATGGTAAATCAGATTTAATAATAAAGTAAAAAAAGTACTGATACACTGTTATAGCAGAACAATTATTCCCTTTCACATGGTGAAAAGCAGATGACCACTGAAGGTATTATGATGATTTTCATTGTCAAATATCCTTGAGTTTCCACACAAACGCAAAAACACAACATCTCCGACCTCTAGCAGCAGCGTGGCACCATTAGAAGATTTCCCAAAACCTGACGTCTGATGTTCATGTGCACGAGAAACAGTCTCACTGTTCTTGATCAACGCAGCACATGCTGGAAGTGAAGAATGTCCGTGAGCACCAATGTAGAACTCAAAGTGGTAGGCTCCTCTCACCGGTGCAAAGAAAAAACCTGTGGGACATTTTTTGTCAGTGAAGGTAACTTGAGATGTGTTTGTTGATCATGTTTTTGAATTCAACAAAGCCAATAACGTTAGATTTTTTGTGGAGATTTGAGTACCTGTGTTTGGGTTGTAGGCATTCCCAATGTTTGAGAAGACGTATCTGAAGACCAGATTAGTTTCAGTGTTAAATGGTCCGATAGTTCCTGAGCCTGAAGCCAACAGAGAGGCTGAGAAAGCCACCTGTTTGACTGAGAGAGAGAGAGAGAGAGTCATTTTATTGTTTTTTACTGTGATTGAAAGTTTTTAAAAGTGCACATATTTGAGAATGAGCCTGTTCAAAACTGAATTTAATAATTTAGATCTATGTTTTACCTTCTCCGTCTCTCCTCAGAGCCTCCACCTGGTTCTCTGTGACATTTGACCTGGCTTTCACAGAGATCAGCTCTGCTGCTTGTACTGTGAAGAAAGTGACATCATTACATATTTGAGTCTGAAAGAAATAGTGTTTGATAGTTACAAGTATTTCATCATTATCGTCTTCATCAAGGTTAGCTTTGCCTATGGTACATTTATGTTTAAAAAATACATATATAATATATGTGGGGATTGCCCACAGTATTGAGTATGTAAGTCGCTTTGGATAAAAGCGTCTGACGTGTAATGTAATGTAATGTCATATATTATAATATATGTGTCTGCTCAAACAGGGTTTTCTCCTTGCTTCAGATACACTATCATCAATCATTTTCACTATAAATAGTTTGAGCCATGATCTTGTCCACACATTACCTTGAAGTTGTTGCTTTAGCTTGTCCCCCTCAGTCTTCTGCTTCTCCAGCTCAGTCTTCTGCTTCTCCAGCTCAGTCTTCTGTAACTCCAGCTTAGCGGTTTGGGCTTTATTAAATTACCAAATGAATGTATAGTTATTTATTGAATAATAAAAACAAATTCATTCCTGCACTACTTTCGTTTATTTCACGGCTTAGTTGAATACTCGATTCTGAGGTTGTTAATACAAGATAACACACAGCTGCTTAGCAAAAATAATGACCGTTGCTAAGGAGAATCAAGGGAGATAAGGAAAGAGCTTCAAAGACAGAGCGTTGAACGTCTGAGAAATCAACTGAAGATGGCAGACAGGAAGTTTTAGTGTGCAATTATAGGTTTTAATTGTGTGCCAGCTAAAATCTTGCTTGGGGCAGCAAATTGGTCAGGGCCGGCCCTGGTTGCTGGGGTGCTGATTAGCATATGTTAGCAGCATGCTAACCTCCTGCCTTTAGAAATGAACTGTGTGACATATAAGATAATCAAAGGGATTGTCAGACATGTTCTCTGCAACATCAGATTATTGCTGTTGTTCTAAAATAAAAAGGTGAACAAGCATATAACAATAGTTGTTCAGACTGAAAGATGTTACATCTGTTAATGCATGTATTCTTACACATGCACCGTTGAGAAGAAGGCTACATGAGGTTCACTGAACACTTTAAGGACTGTTGTGATCTCTACATGTAGCAAACAGAAGAAGAGTGTAAAGAGCTAGAACAGTATCATTATCTGCAAGTAATACTGTAAACTGGTTTAGTGAAAACACTTTATACAAGAACGGTTTCCATATGTCCCCACCTTACACACCACAGTACCTTCATTCTCTCTCTGAAGGTGCCTCGTCTCCACCCTCTGCTCAGCCAGAGAGGCGCTCATCTCTCTCAGCACAGCGTGGATGTCTTGAGGACAGGTCTGTTGGTGCTCAGACACATTTGTTGGTTCTCCTCCCTGGGATTCAGCATGATGTGGAACAATGTCATTGTCAGACTGAAGCTGAGCCGTAGAGAGAGAGCAGATCAGCAGCACCAGAGGAAAACACATGGTCCTCTCCATTCTCAAAGTGGCAGTCTGTTCAGATCTACTTTAGACTTTCTGTGGTAAGCCCAGCTTTATATAGTGTCTTCTGCTGATCAATCATTACTGAACATATTGACCATAAACATGTGGAAAAAACCCTTTGAGCATGTTCTCAGGAAAACAACTGGAAACACAGCAGACAAACATACATGATCTACAAGTACAGTGCCTGTATGATGGAGTGTAGCTCAAACTTAATAATCAGTTTACCAACATTCAAAAAGTCTATTTAGTGTTCCTACAGCTTCTTAGAAATCACATTCTAGGACATTTCAAGTATTTAACAGAGCATGTTACCTCAAATCCAAGGATCCAACACAGCCTCATAAATGCACAAACATGACCTTCTGATAACATATTGGAGCATCTGGAAAACATCTTTGGAAACACAGCACACAATAGTCCACAAGCTTTTACTTTTGACTTATTGTTGAAGTGTGTGTGTGTGTGTGTGTGTGTGTGTGTGTGTGTGTGTGTGTGTGTGTGTGTGTGTGTGTGTGTGTGTGTGTGTGTGTGTGTGTGTGTGTGTGTGTGTGTGTGTGTGTGTGTGTGTGTCATGTGTGTGTGTGTTGGTAGGCAATGTCTGTGTTTCAATTACAATTTAAAAACTACAATATGAATAGACACACATTCAAATCACCTGGTGGCAGTTAACAGTGTCAGTAAAAACAAGTCAATGTAAACAACATCATTATCATCTGTTCTTGTTTAACCCTTATGTTGTGTTGGGGTCTCCCGTGACCCGTTTCAAGTTAAAATGATATAATAACTACGCTCTAGTTTTTTTTATCTGAACAAGGCTTCATGATATCCTCCACAACAGATATATAAACACTACAAAACTGATTTTGACCATTTTAGCCAAGTCTAAAGGTCTCAAAAAAAAGTGTATAATTTGGTGTTCGGGTCTGGGGAGACCCAGCAGAATTGTTGTGGGTGACTCGAGGTCAAATTTGGCCCAATCAAGATTCATCTTTGACTTTAGACACCCCTCCCCCACCCCCTTCAGCCACTGTAACAATAATGTTTCGCAACATGCACCTGGTCTCCCATCCCTCTGCCCCCTCCCCCCACGGGAACTCCACCTTTCTCAAAGAATATGTACACTAACACTTGAACCTGAACTCACACATGCACGTGATCAATATGTGGTGTGATGTGTTTTGGGCCATAACATTAAATGACAACAGGATTGTACGGTTATGAATGCATTATAAGTTAGTTATGATGTAGTTAAAACAATATTGGATGATAGTCATTTTTAGATAAATCATGGGTCAAAATTGACCCGCGAGCACCATGAACGATAACAGCTTTTGAACACAACACAAGGGTTAAACATTAATGACATAGTAAGATACAGTGATCTCACTGAGGTTGTTCATTGTCTGAGATAAACAAGTACTTATCAGAAACCAAAGGTAGATGATTATAAAATACATGTTATTTTAGCAATAAAGGAATATTTTCTCGCTGCTTCCTCAATAAATCCAGAAGGGTAAGTTTAAAGGTTAGCTATCTTAAATTTCAAAAGCAAAAACGTTCATAAATATTAATATAAAATAAAATATGGGACAAAATCCCCCCCCCCCAAAAGAGATGTTTTAATACAACTGATTTTGAGTGGATGTAGTTTTCAATGAATATATGCTTTATTTCAATTTAATAATGTTCCTATGATATACAAAAGGATTTCAGAATTGTTAGAAAAGAGGCGTGTCCTACTGATCCAGTCCAAACAGAAAGAACTGCATTGATTTGGAGGCTTTGGGTAACATGACATGGAAGCTGTAGAAAAGAAATGACGGTTTTTTAAAACAGAAACTGAACCGCTTAGTACTTTGAGCAACGTATCAGGAAAACAACAATAACAACACAGCACACAAACATACATGATTTACTAGTACCTGTATGATGGAGTGTAGTTCCACATCTTTTAATCATTAGTTTATCACATTGTTAAAACATGTATTCACTGATCCCTTACCTTCCTAAAAATCTAATTCAATGACTTTTCAAGGACTTTACAGGCCATATTCCCTCAAATTCAAGGACCCAACACAGTTTAGTTTGAGACGCGGATGGAAGTAGATTACTGTTGTGAGAGGGAGCAGGCTTTACAGAAGCTCAGAGACAGAGAGAGAGAAAGAGTTACAGTGATGGCAGACTGTCTCTTGCTTTCTCTAACACAGCAAAACAATATGTAGGTTGAGCGACAGAGACATAGACTTGTTTACAAGTTGAAGAACAAATTAAATAGCTGACATGTTCAACAATGTACAATATATATAAACTCAAAACACATTTCATTGCCAATTCGCATTTCCAATCATTCTAAAGGCCAAAACTTGTTTATTATAATATCTACAATGAATGGTGTGCATTAGTGTGAAGGAAATATGTTGGTATTATTTTAGTATTCTTTATAAAACAATTAAAATATATAATGTGGGTTATCAAATATTAAAATACTTAAAATCACTTCATGGCTGGCCAGTGAAAATAGGTCAATGCAATAAAATACTGATCATCCACTTGTTCAAACATGAATGACAGTGAGATAAGGTGACCTCAAGGAGGCTGTTCATTGGGGGATATGATCAAAGACTTTCCAGAAACCAAAGTTAGATGACTATAAAATATATTTTCTCTCTTTGCTTCCTCAATAAATGCAGTATAGTTACAAAGTCTGACTTTTAAAGAACAACACAATGTTATAAAACATTTACAGGTAGGAAGTAGCAGAATGATGTGTGCTTTATCTGATCTTCAACACAACCTAATTTGTCCTAACTGATATTAAACAAAAAGTGCTGAGTCATGAAGTCAAAATATGACAAAGTGTAAAGCAGCTGAAAAAAGAGTGAGTGTGTTCATAGAGCCTGAGATCTCACCAACATCTGAGACAACAGCAATTTAGATCTAGATGTGAACAGGCAGAAAGAAATATTACAGGAAGAGTTAGAAAGTAGAGATCATAATACGAACATTATCTCCTTCAAAGTAGCAATGTATAACATTTCAATGATATGCCTTAGAATAATGACGCCATTGGTGTTTAGATTGGTTCCCTGAACGCCTCGCTTCACAATGCAGTTCTGTCTGTTACCTGGTCGCAGACAGAAAATATGTTATCAACATTTTGGTTTCACATTTTCTTTGGAAGAAACGCAGTGGACCTTTTTATTAGCAGCTCTCTTAGCACCTGAGACCAAGTCATACAAACATAGGATTTACCCCACCACTGTCACTTCTGTCATGGTTTGGGATTTTTGTTACAATTTTCCACCTTTTTATTTGTAAATGTTTTCCTCCTTGTGTCTTGTCTGCTCCTACTTCCTGTGTTTGCCTTCCTGTGTCTGATTGTCTCATTGTGTTCACCTGTTGCCCTTGTGTTTCTGCCTCCCTTGCCCAGCTGTGTCTTGTCCTGTGATTACCCTTCTGTGTATTTAGTCTTATCTTCCCCCTGTTCTCCATGTCCGATCGTCTTTCATGTCACGCTCCATGTTGGTCCATGTTACCTGCTCGTCTTCCTTGTCCGTGCTACCTGCCTGTTCCCTTCTGTAAGTGTGTTCCTGTCTGTCCTGCTCCCCGCTTTTTGTTCATGTTAAGTCATCGGCTTTTTAAAAAAGCTTGTTTTTTGTTACCTGACCTTTTGTCCTCTTAACTGCATTTGGGTCCTGATTTTCCCCAACCCTGACAACTTCCAGTCACTACATTTGAAGGAGGCCATACAAGACAATAGATATGAATAACTTTGACAATCTCCCTCCTTCATTACAACCAAAAAAGATATCATCACAAATGTACAAACTATTTTCTCAACACAACAACACTGTTTCCATACCAACACACGAATGGGCATCAGATCCAAATCAGACAGACATTAACTGCCACACCATCTGTAATAAAACATTTAGCATGTCCCGTAACAGAAATACAACTCATTCAATACAAGTGACCCGGTTTTGGTCGGAGGTCATGAGAAAGCTGTCAGAGGTCCTCAAAATCGGCAACCCCTCACCCCCTCCATCGCTCTCTTATAGGAGATGTATCCTCCATCGCTCTCCCACTACATCTCCAAACTGTCATTATCATAGCAATAACTGTAGCACAGAAAAACTATTTTCCTCAACTGGAGAGACAGAACAAAATGAACTATTAACCATTCTCTCAATCGTTCAACAGATCATGCAGACCTGGGAAAACTCTCTTCAACACAAAATGACAATATAACACCCGTCAATCAAACCTGTCTCCTTTCATGCTCTACCTTCAGAGCAGATTCCTCTTCACACATGTTTGGCCGGACACTTCACAACAAAGCATCACCTCACAGTAACACATTAGCATAATGCTCTCTCTACTGCACGTCCCTTCCTTTCCCTTTCTCATTGCTGTCTTGATATTTTTGTTTCTTTGTATATATCATTTTGTGTCTTTATTGTCATTATTAATGTTATTATCATTTATTTTGTTGGTGGTAAATACGTTTTTTGTTTTGTAAATATGTTTGTATGCGATGTGAGAAATGATAATAAAAAGTAAAACAAAAATAGAGGTAGGAACATATTGTGTGCTGTATTGTGTTTGTATTATTACTGTGTTTATTAAATACAATGCTAACAATTTTTATATATATATATATATAATGAACATTTCTGTTGTTCCATAAAAACAATAATATTGATTTTGAAATATATAAGACACTTCTATTGTATTATCGTTTTATTATTGGTTTTCGAACAATAACACGTTCTTTTATTTTCAAACCATCATTGTGAAGAAAAGTCCTGACGGAGTATTGCAATGATTTGTTTGTGCTTTTATTCAAATGTATGAGAACATGAAAACAATATATTTAACTTTTTTAGATGATTGCTGCCTTGAAACTTCGTCGTTCAGGTTTCATGTACGTACTGACAAACTCTGTCAATGAGACTCTCATTTGCTGGCACTGGTACAGTTCTTGTGTACGTCGAGATGCT